TCCCATAAATGGAAACTAACTTGTTTGTCTTAGCGATTGGCTGAACAAGAAGTAGGACTGAGTGGACTTGCAGGCTCTAAAGTTTTCCATTGTTTTGTTTTTGAGTGCAGTTCTGTAACAAAAAAAAAATCTACATTTGTAAGTTACACTTTCACAATAAAGAGATTGCACTACAGTACTTCTATGAGGTGAATTGAAAAATACTATTTCTTTTGTTTATCATTTTTACAGTGCAAATATTTGTAATCAAAAATATAATATAAAGTGGGCACAGTATTCTGTATTGTAATAGAAATCAATATATTTGAAAATGTAGAAAAGCATCCAAAAATAATTTAATAAATTTCAATTGGTATTCTACTGTTTAACAATGCGATTAATTGCGATGAATTTTTTTGAGTTAATCACATGAGTTAACTGCGATTAATCAACAGCCCTACTTGTAACACATTTTACATCGGGTCATAAATCTGAAATTCCTCCCATTCCTTTATTAAGAGCAACAAACATGGAGCCAGAAACATACCAGGCTCTGGGGCTACTTATGTCTCTTCTGTTTCTGCTGCCAGTTCTGCAGCAGGCTCCGCCCTTGGGGGGGGATCATCAGACAGCTCCTTTGAGCATGGACCCAGCATGTGCTGCAGCTACTCCAGTGGCAGAACCTCTTTGGAAACCAGTGTGAGCACAAGTCACTTCACTAGCTGGATCTGGTGCCTGCTGGTTCCTCTCTAGTATAGGAGTAATTCAGGGGTCAGAAGGTCACCATCCCGGCTGACCAGGCTGTCGTGAACTGCTGTTGGCTCAGTGCTTGGTGCAATATCCAACACCCTGTCAAACTTCTCATAAAAGAGGCAGGATGTTGGGGAGTTCCCAAAGGTGTGGTTTTCAACCCTGGCTTTCCAATAGTCTTGAGCTGCTTAATCCACTCCCAGCACTGGTCACCAGTCTGGTGAATCCCCCACGCTGCCAATTCATCTGCAGTTTTGTAGTGAAGAGAAACTTCTTGCTTGCCTCACACCAGAGATTAACCAATATCTGACTGTGGTCCTGTCACCAGGGAACAACGTGTTTGGCAATGGACTTCTTATTGGTTGCCATAGCTAGTGCAGGAGATGGTTCACTCTGTTTGCAGCTCAGCAGTCAGAATACAATGTAAAACACTGAGCAGCTGTACTTGAACGTGGGGGGTTGCTTCCATTTCCTGGGAGTCAACTGGCTAGTTTTGAGATAGAAAAAACAAGGAACACTGGCCCATGGGACTGTGTGATAGAATTGGCAGACTATCAGGACATGAGTCTTGGGGACCGAGGCCCAAGCTGCATCCACAATACAAAATGATGCACTGTGGACTAGTGGGACTTGGGTTTGGATGAACCCCTCTTGCTGGATCCTAGGGTCTAAGTCCAGGGGCTTACTGGCCTTAGTCAGCTTTGTGTGTAGACAGAAGTGGGGTTAGAGCTCAAGCCTGAGTCTGAGCCCAGGCTTGCATTGCACTGTAGATATACCCTCAGTGTTATGTCCTCTACAGCACTGAGTACCAAGTATTTAATAAGGGGAAGTGCCATGGTATCCTCTCTTAATATCTCAGCCAGTAGAGTTTGCTGAATGCAAAGATGGCAGCAGAAAGGTGCTTTGCAATAGGCTGTTCAGGTTACTACCTCTCAGCTCAAAGAGGGAATCACTGACTTCTTTTTACCTCCTAGGATGGCAAAATCCTAAGGGAAAAAAATCTAGTTCCAAATGAATGTCTGCACATACACTTTCAGAACTGCCACCCCAGACACATACACCCACCAAAACCCCCTGCAACTCCTCCTCCCCCTGCCTGGGAAAAAACCAAACCAAAAAACTCCACACTGCTCACCACGGACCTATAAAATTTTGCAAGACTAAGGTGCATATGTGTATTAGATATTAATCATAAGTTCTTTAAAAGACAGATGCTTGTAATCGCAAATTCTAGCAACAATTCTACTTTGAATAAAGGGGACAATTTAATCTGTCCAGTTTTAGACTGATATTTCAGATAGAGAAATGTAACTACTAAACTATGAGCGTAGCAGAGGAACAAACAGCAACTGGTGTCAGTATTATATAATATGCTGCATCATATATAATCTTAGTGGCCTGTGAAGGAGCCCTAAAAATAAAGGATAGGTGTATTCCGTCCATCACATATGTGCAGTCTGCATATTTCTGTCCTTGCCCAACACATTGGCATTCATGATCATTTTAAAATGATTCTAGCACACAACTGCTGTGTGGTTATAGTATAAACTTGTAACACCAAATAAAATAAATCAGAACTTAATTCAAACCAAATGGACATAGCAAATATGGTTGGATATATTTGCTGATCTTCTATAACAATGTAATTGAATCATAGAGGATAAAAGCTATTAGGACCAAATGGATTAGTAGGTCATCTAGCCCATTCCTCTTCCACTGTAGATTGTTCCCCACACTTCATTTTCTAGGACTTTGTCCAATCTAATTTTAATATAATCTTTCATATTTTTATGATAAACCTGACTCTCTTAATCACTATCTATGATTTATGTATAATAGAGAATAAAGGGAATAGACCATTTTAAAGTTTATAGCTCTAGTGAAGACTCTACATTGGAAATTAGGAATTTAACTTATTGTATGTAGGATTCAAATGCCATTAAAGATGAATGCTTAAAAAAGGATGGACTTCCAGTGCAGTTTTCATGAAGTCCTTACTTGCTGTAAAATCATTTTCCTTATGAAAAAATGTTTCATCCTACCATATTTTATTTTCAGAATTAGTAAACATCATACTTCTATGTTCAAGGTGTATTTTCACCAAAGTGCTTGAGTCTACTAAATTACTGATTTTGAAACTGGCTAAGAGAACCAAAATGTAAACATAAGTTATTACAAATGTGCATACTTAGTTACTGAATCAGAGCACACAAAAAAATCTCTTTCACTAGTTACCTAGTTACCATCTTAAACACTAATACAATAGAACTGCCTTTGTGTGCATATTGAATGTTGTGCAGGATGTGTTTAATTAAATCACTATTTTAAAAAGTATCTGAAACTACATGTTGATAAAAAGGTTTTCCTTAATAAAAAATGTAATGGAGGTCAATTGACTGATAATATGAATTTATTGGTACCGAAGACAAGGCACTGTGCTAATTCAAGAATGACAATTAAAGAAAACAAAAGACTCACTTCTGTTACTATGCTTTCTAGGACTGAACAACTCATCTAACATAATAAGGCAACAGGACTGCCAAGAATATAGTGTAAGGAACAGAATGCATTAGCAATCTTTGCTTCCCACCCGTTGAAAAATAAAGAGATAGTACTGAAAAAAATTACTGTTAGTTAAATAATGTAACTACACCTGTAAAAGTGAGTATTAAATCAGCCCATATAATGCTCTATTGTACTCTTCAAAGAGGAGAACTGAACTGCTTTAGCCACAACTGACTTGGCTATACTGCAAGACAATGCAAAAGACCTTTGCTAGCAGTTTGTGAAGTCTTCTTGGTGACCTAAGGAGACAAAACCCTGATTTACACGACAAACTTATGTCAGTATTACTGCAGCACTCAGGAGTGTGGAAAATCCACACCCCGAGCGATGTAGTTATACCGACCTAGCCTCCAGTGTTGACAGTGCTATGTCAACAGGAAGGCTTCTCCTATTGATATAGCTACTACCTCTTGGGGAGGTTAAGTACCTCTGCCAACAGGAGAAGCTGTTCCATCGCTGTAGGCAGTCTTCACTAAGTGCTACAGCAAAGCCGTAAGTGTAGACAAGCCCTCAGTAAATCATAAAGGGACAGCTAGTTCCTGGAAATTTTTTGTTTGTTTTACAGCTCTCCCTTCTAGCCCACACTAACTAATAGCCAGACACCTGCATTTGTTTAGAGGAAAGAAGATTTCACTTTGAGGGGTGTTGCTAAAGAGAACAGCACAAAAACGTATCCCAACAGGGCAAGAATTTGATAAATGTTAAGAAACAAAAACAAAAGAAGTTGCTTGAGTAGTTTGCTACAATGTTTTTATGTAATAGCACCACACTAGTGTGTGAAAAAGCAGTTTCAGCAGCACATACTAGCAGATGGTGTCACAAACCGCAAGTGATGACAAATCAAGTGAAGAAAGCATTGTTCCAACAAACAACAAAACAAAAAACAAAACCACCACAAACACACCTAGTCGCTCCACAACAGTTATATGGGAGAAAACAAATCTCTCAGGTTGGCATCTCTTTCATATTCTGATCTTTCCACATGCTCTAATTTCCCCCATCTCCCACAGACATCACTGGAAGTTCTATGCTTGAAGAGAAAGCAGAATATCTGCCAAGGACTATGTGGATCCAAAAACAGAATGTTGTCCCTGATGATGTTAGCTGCTTCTGTGACCCAGTCTATAGGTCTTCTCAACAGTTTTGAAGAGAATAAAGGAAACTATTCTCTGTTGGGTCCACTGATAAGTCTTCTTGCTTACAAGATGGGCTTTCTTTGGCCAGCACCTCAAATTTCCAGCCATATGAATAACAAGAAAAATATGACAAATACATATTTATATAAGCATTTGAGCACAATATGAGCATTTTCATACTAAGAAGACGGCTCTGGAGGGGAGAGGGTTACTGTGACATAGCCACATATACAAAAGTATTTAGTCTCCTATACTTAAGTTGTTTACACCCTAGAAGTCTCTTGGTTAAATAATAATAATACATTTAGAAGCAGAGTTGCAATACTTTTCAAAAGTAGTAGCAGCAGCAGCCTTCACAGGGAGAGAGCACTATAATAAGAATGAGTTTGTTTCCACACACTGTTTACCATGTTAACTTGTGACAGAATTCTGATCAGATTTAACAGTAATACTACTAGAAGTACATTAGCACAGCAGCACAGTCATCCCTCCACATAAAAGATTTTTTAAAAGATAAAACAATACATTATACCAGTATCTGTAAAATTGTTTCATAAATCCCCCAAAAGATTGTGTCCATGCATATAAGGCAGCAGAAAGTCAGTCAAATATTTCATAGCATCAAAGCTAAATTCTTAGCCTTTGTTGCAAAAAAATAAGTTGTCAAGGATGAAATCTTGATTGTTAACACCAAATACTAATAAGAGAAAGCACAGAAACATGGCAGGAAATTTGCCATATCTGCATAACTTACAACAAAAGATCCTAACATTCACAGGCTTTAAAAAACACATTGAGAAACCTGAGTGAAAATATTTTAGGAACATATTGATAGAAGACCACCAACTAATCAGTCTGTTCCTTTTTAAGTTCATTTGTCAGTTAAGTGCTTAGAACACACAGCTAGACTCATTTGTATGAACCTATACATACGGTATGTCATATGCCATTGTTTCCCATTCCATAGAGTGGGATTGTCTTTAAATGAAGTGACCCTGGGCATGCAGGCAGTGTGGCAAGAGAAAGGTTAAGATCAATAAAGAGGCAATACCTTGTTTCCTTAGAGGAGCATTTTGTGGCAAAAGTGTGCATTGTTTCAATGAACCCAAATGATCTTTATAGAGAAGTTCAGTTTTACATATATGATTTCTAGTCAGATTTTCCATTCTTACGTATTTTGACTTCCTTTTGTCCAATGAGACAAATAACTTTGTAGCATCCCTTTGTAATTTTGACCATCCACATCAAGTTCATCACATCCAAGACAACACTTGAGATAATCCAGGCGCTTTGGGCTGCAACTCCTACTCTGTGGAAAGCCTCTGTTCCAAACACAGAAATGACGTCGGCATAATAAACAGGCATGACTACAATCCTCACCATGAAGAACACAATCGTCATCAGCACCCCATTGATGATGTTGGCTTTTGAAGATTTGGGGTACCCCAGCACTTCAAAGAACCACCTGCAAGAGAGAAGTGTTCACAAAACCAAACAAGTTTCAGATTTTTCAAATCCCTTCTTATGACCAGTCACTATTCATCAATTTATCCCCAAGCCCTCCCAATCTAAAATTCTGCCTTTTATTATCACTTCATCTAAAATCTCTCTAGGCCTGTTAATTATCTTGGTGCAAAGCATTGTGTAATCTCCATTACTACATAAAAAAGTTTCATAACAATATTTTAAGGAACAGCATGTACAATAATCTCCTAATTTGAATTGTAAACTAATAAGTGTACATGTTAGTTGCTATTACTGTAGTGTAGAGGAGTGGTTTTCAGCCTTTTTTCATTTGTGGACCCCTAAAAAATGTCAAATGGAGGCTTTGGAAATCTTAGACAATCTGTGGACGCCCAGGGGTCTGCGGACCACAGGCTGAAAACCACTGCTGTAGAGCATAGATAATTTGTTTTGTAAATTAACTTTAAAATAACTACTGTGAAATAATTTATTTTTCGTTCTTTGAACATTTTAATTTGCACTGCCCGATGAGAAACTGCTATTCAATTTTTTTTTAGAAGTGAAACTGAGCTGAGAAATGTAGCTCCAAACTTCCTCAAAATTATAGATTAAGGCCCCTACCAAATTCACAGTCAATTGGTCAATTTCATGGTCATGGGATTTTAAAAATTGTAAATTTCATTATTTCAGATATTTAAATCTGAAATTTCACAATGTTGTAACTGTAGGGATCCTGACCTAAAAGAGAGCTTTAGAGCAGGGGTCGCAAGGTTATTGTAGGAGAGTTGCAGTATTGCCACCATTACTTCTGTGCTGCTGGTGGTGGCGGCGATGCCTTCAGAGCTGGTCAGCTGGAGAGTGATGACTGCTGGCCAGGAGCCAGCTCTGAAGGCAGCGCTGCCACCAGTAGCAGCATAGAAGTAAACATGGCATGGTATGGTATTGCCACCCTTACTTCTGTGCTGCTGCCTTCAGAGCTGGGTCCTCGGCCAGCAGCCTCTACACTTCAGCCGCCCAGTTCTCAAGGCAGCACCACAGAAGTAAGGGTGGCAATACTACGACTCCCCCCTACAATAACCTTGCAACCACCCTGCACCCCCTTTTGGATCTGGACCCCCAGTTTGAAAAACGCTGGTCTCCCCTGTGAAATCTGTATAGTATAGGGTAAAAGAACACAAAAGACCAGATTTCACAGGGCAGACCAGATTGCATGGTCCGTGACAAGTTTTTCATGGCCGTAAATTTGGTAGGGCCTAATTTTAGGGAAAGAAAGAAGTTTGGAATTGGTGTTGTAGGTAGGACCCCCATCTGTTATTTCACATTTGCTGGATTTGGGCTTTTGTGATTGGTGCCTTGTTACTGTCCTAATAAGATCCTTAGAGATCAGTCTGGTCCCAAGCCAAAACCTCAGCTCTAAACATTACAAGTTGCATTGCATTATTATGTTAATGCTTAGCTGTATGAAAAATGTCAGTGTGCAGGAGTAATTTTGAGTAGGTTTTCTATATTTTGAGGCCCTACTAGACAGGTGTAACTATTACATATAGTCTATTGCCTGGCAAGTATAACCTGTGGGTTGGTTTCTTAAGGAAGTATTTGCATTATTGTATGTTCCTCTCTTTCCCTTCATTCACCCAATAAAATCACCCCATTGAAGATTTGTATAGCAGTGACAAGTCAGAGAAAGGACAGAGAGGACCAAACCATAGAAAACAGCTTAACTGCTGAACCTCTGAAGGCATAATCAGCTAAAATATTGACCATTAAGCAACAGGTGTAGTGATTGTTAGAACTTTCCCTTTGTAAAACTAATAGTATAGCCTGTTACAAATTTATTACTAAGGGGCACAGCCATATTGACAGATACTTGTGATATGACTGAACATTATAGATCCCTAGTAAGATAATCAAAGTCAAATATTTTCTTAGATCTGCATCAAGATGATGATTAGGTACTGTGCTGTGCCAGCATATTAATTTATAAATGCTTTTTAAATAAATGAAAAAATGGTAATAGAACAACTGCTCACAACCAAAGTCAGAACGACAATTTATGGTTTGCCCGTCACTGACTAAATCAATGCTGAAATTAAACTTGCCTTGTATATGGACATGCCCAAATCAGAAACCAGTATAGAATCACAGAATAGCAGGGTTGGAGGGGACCTCAGGAGGTCATCTAGTCCAACCCCCTGCTCAAAGCAGGACCAATCCCCAGACAGATTTTTACCCCAGTTCCCTACATGACCCCCTCAAGGATTAAGCTCATAACCCTGGGTTTAGCAGGCTAATGCTCAAACCACTGAGCTATCCCTCCCGTCAAAGAACAAAAAGGAGATGCAAGATAATTATTTAAGAAAAAGTAAAACCTCTATTTACTGTTATAACAATTGTGCAGTTTATTTGTAATTTTTTAAAAAGTGAATGTAATGCTTGTGAAAGTGCTGGATTATTAGACAGTGCTGGAGAACTAACTATAGAACAGATATAGCACAGACAGCGTCAGGGCAGTTCATACTGCCCTCAATATTCTACTTATGTGCTTAAAGCTGAGAAGAGTGACCATCACTAGGGAAGAGGGAGGTTCAGTCTCTAGGTCCATTCAGATCTTTGTCTTTATGCCGACATGGCCAACAAGGAAGCAAATTGTGATAGTGGTTTTTGTGAAGTGAGCAGAGTAGTGCTCTGCTAGACTGTGGTTTAAACCTTTAAATTTTAGGCAGACAATTCAATTCTATAGATCAGCTATTTCAAACAATGTAGGTTCTGTCAGATGGGTTAAAAAAAAGCATACATCTTTCAAAGAGCAGAAATCTGCTCTATAAGAGCAAGACTTTGGTGTCCTGTACTATACATTTTTTTTTGCATTAAATTAGTCAACTGGATCTTTTTCCTCTGGACTCCTCAGTACAGAAGTAATATTGATAGATTAAAGCAGGAATCACCACCTGGCAGTTTCTGATCAAAAGTAGCCTTTATAATCTTACCCCTTCTCCCTAACTTAAAAGCTGAACTTGCCAACCCAATGTTTGAGGCAGACCCTGACATGGCACCTTCTCATAGAACTACTAGAGACTATGCAGCATACTATACTCTACTGCAGGGGTTCTCAAACTTCATTGCACCGCAACCCTCTTCTGACAACAAAAAATTACTACACAACACCAGGAGGGGGGACTGAAGCCAGAGCCCAGCTGAGTCTCACTGCCCCAGGGGGGCGAGACAAAGACAAAGCCTGAGCCCCACCGCCCCGGGTTAGGAAGGGGTCAAAGCCGAAGCCCAAAAGCTTCAGCCCCTGCCAGGGGGCCTGTAACCTGAGGCCCTCGCCCCTCGCCCTGAATCCCCAGGGCTTTGGCCCCAAGCCCCTGCAAATCTAAGCCAGCCCTGGCAACCCCATTAAAATGGGATTGTGACCCACTTTGAGGTCCCAACCCACAGTTTAAGAACTGCTGCTCTACTGCATGCCAGAGCACTTGAGGATTGTGAAGGAGAAGCATAGCACAGATGCCTAGCAACAACACAGCTGAAAGCTATTCAGAATATCGAAGTAGAATGAGGCAAGGACTCCTTAACCTCCAATAAAACATCTGCCCTAACCTTTCTGCATCTTTCTTCCTTATGGCTTCCAATATGCTTTATCTCCCCTGACCCAGTCTTCCCTTTTCCCACTCTAACTATGGCTCTTGCAATTGCCACTGAAGACATTTGACCTCTGTATTGCTCATCCCGGAAACATAGCTCAAATTAGAACACAACACTTGGGGAGATTAAAGAAATTGGATACATAAGGCTTGTGAAAAGAAGGAACATCAGATCTACTGTATTTCTGAGTACCAAAAGAGTTAGAAGAGAGGGGATGAATTATTCAAGGTGATTAAAAAGAAAGATAAGAGTTAGCACCCTGAAATTTGAAGAAACAAGAGTAAATTTGATTTTACCAATACGCATTTTTGCTAGTCTACTGGGTTGTGGAATAATTTAATCAAGGATGGGAAGACATTGCTGGATTTGTTTAAGGGGGAAAAAATGCAGTCTTAAAGACAGCATGCAGGAATTGTTCTGCATTATTTGACTAAGGCCTGGTCCACACTAACCCCCCACTTCGAACTAAGATACGCAACTTCAGCTACGTTAATAACGTAGCTGAAGTCGAAGTACCTTAGTTCGAACTTACCGCGGGTCCAGACGCAGCAGGCAGGCTCCCCCGTCGACTCCGCGTACTCTTCTCGCAGAGCAGGAGTACGGGCGTCGACGGCGAGCACTTCCGGGATCGATCTGGGATTGATTTATCGCGTCTAGACAAGATGCGATAAATCGATCCCAGAAGATCGATTGCTTACCGCCGGACCCGGAGGTAAGTATAGACGTACCCTAAGATAGTTCTGATTTTTCTAAAATTTTCTTAATAGGAAACATGGCTACAGGAGAGACTTCCTTACCTCTTCCTGATGGTTTTTGTGCTCTGAGATCACCCATAATAAATACTAAATATTTATGTAAACTATGCTGTCCCCCATCACTCTCTCCAGAGTTTTCCACCAAGGTGTGTGAGGTAGGTAGCAAGCCCCTTTAGTGATGTAGAACTGGTTACTCCAAACTACTATATCACACTACACTTAAGGAAAGAGTGTGAAAGCTCTGTTTCGAGGTATTTCTAAGTTTAGCCACAGTATGGCCTTACTTAGATGTTTTAATATTTTATCTATTATAGTTTTTGTGTGTTTTTTCCCCATCATTTCTGCAATGTACACAAGTATTTCCATGGGGAAGGAGTGAACTAGATAACCTAGGGTGTCCTTTTTAGGGTTGAGAGTCCATGAATCTTTAAATTACAGGTTTTCACAGCTTTGCAACTTGTAAAGGTATGTCAGACACTCACATGCAGTATATATAAAATATAGACCTCAAGTAATCTAGAACAATGATGAAGGTGTCTAAATATCAGAGAAGTGAAATTCTGGAACAGCCTTCCAAGGGGAGCAGTGGGGGCAAAAAACTTAACTGGCTTCAAGACTGAACTTGCTAAGGGTATGGAGGGGATGGTATGAGACTACCTAAAATGGCATGTAGCTGATGTGCGACTGCTAGCAGCAAATATCTCTAACAGCCACTGATGGGACACTAAATGGGGAGGACTCTGAGTTACTATAGAGAATTCTTTCCCAGGTGTCTGGCTGGTGGGTCTTGCCCACATATTCAGGGTCTAACTGATCACCATTTTTGGGGTCAGGAAAAAATTTGCCCCTGGGGTCAGATTGCCGGAGACCAGGGGGGTATTTTTATTCCTTCCTCTGCAGCATAGGGCACGGGTCACTTGCAGGTTTAAATTAGAGTAAATGGTGGATTCTCTGTAACTTGAAGTCTTTAAATCATGATTTGAGGACTTCAGTAATTCAGCCAGAGGTTATGAGTCTATTACAGGAATGGGTGGGTGAGGTTCTGTGGTCTGCAATGAGCTGGAGGTCAGACTAGATGATCATGATGGTCCCTTCTGGCCTTAAAGTCTATGAATCTATAATACAAGTCCACAATTTCACTCAATGACAAAGCTACCTGGAACCTCTTCTTGTGTTCATGATGCTGTTAGAAACCCATAATGGAAATGAAAACTTGTATTACATACTTTTTTATCTAATAACCTATTTATACCCATCTAACTTATACACTTCTGCATATTCTTTTGTTCAAAAGATTTATGCCAGCTTCATGTTGCATACAGAATACCATTTACAATAAGGAGGAACTCCTCTGGAATGCACTGGAACATAATTCTAGGAGTACAATAGCCCAAAATTTTCATAGCAAGCAAGCTTTTTCCAGCTTATAAATGTGGTTATGTTGAAGTGTGACTACAGAAAATGAATCAAATTTCTATTTGTTATTTACAGTTAAATTCAGTTATCTAACAAGGCAAGACACAAGTTAAAGTAAAATAATTAACAACCACCTACCGCTGATTCACAAAAGGAGTAGAGAACTCTGCAAGCAGACGAAAGTTACCAAAATATGCCAACATTCCTTCACCCTATATAGCAAGATAAATATTAAAAAGAAGAATCAGGGATGTAAACTTGAGTCATAAATTTAATCTGAAGAACGCATTGACCATTTCCATTTTGTTAAAGCTTCCCAGCATTTGTAAAATTGTATAGGATCTCAAATAGTTTACCAAAACTGAAAGTGTCAAGTAAATGTAATAAATTTCGTAATCCTCTTTATAAAACTTTAAAGTAAATCATTTATAACATATAATACTGCTGCCCTTTGAATTTTTTTTAGTGATAAATTAAGAAAGCAGGGAAATATGCAATGTGTCTTGTGACTCCAAGTCATTGACCAAGTATTCAAAATACTTATAGTTATTTGTGGAAGATTAAACAGATGCAGAAAGTTGGCTAACAAATGATGGCACTCCCTAATCAACATAAAAATAGTGATAAGTTATGATAAATTAAAATGGATATATTTTACGGTGACTATCTAAAACGATTCAAGAATATTTTGAATTTCTCATGTTTTAAATAAATCCAGCAGAACCATACTAAACTCACAGAAAATGAGCACTCGTTTTAGTAAGTTAGTTAGTTTGCCAAAACAGAGACTGAAGGCCAGATCCTTGGTCCTGTTCCAACTTTTTTGCAGTGCTCCATCACACAGCTCTACTCTAATCTTGTTGCAGCCCCCAGCAAAGGGGATGGGTTGGAGGAAGGGCATGTGGCTAGAATCTTGCTGTCCTCTGGTAATCTGCAGCTGGCAGAATGGCACCAAAGCACAGCTGCACAATTAAACTGAGCATTTTGTAAACTGTCAAATTACCCAGTACAACTTTGGATTGAGGTTTCCATTTATAACCAAATCTTCCACTCGTGATCATCTGCGCTGGTTTTTTCTGTCTACAGAGGAGTAAAGATATATTCTTCATCTCTATTACTTTTTGGCAGCATCATACGCTCCTAAGAGCAGCAATTAAATAATGTTTGTGGGAGAAGCAGTTTATGAGGCTGAATTCTACACTGGAACCCATCAAAAAGGCAGCATTCATCAACACTTGCCAAACAGCAGAATGTGAGGTGCCACTGTTTTTCCCCTATACTTGGAAAGAGGGAATAACTGCTGGCAAATATTGACTTCTTAATGATGACCACTGTATTGCTGTAGGAGTTCTATTAGTGTGCTTAGCATGTATAAAAAACAGAAAAATTGTACATCCAGTGATCTTACATTTTAAGGACCAAATTCTGCCATAAGATATATGTGCACAACTTCCACTGAAGTAAATGGGAATTTTATGCACATATCTGAGGGCAGAATTTGAACCTGGATTCAGTGATGACAATGATTTTTTTTATACCAAGATCACTGTCAGAAAGCCTATTATTTACCTCTTAAATCTCTGGAAATTGTTTTGTCATTGCAACTAAAGGAAGACAGTAAAAATTAAATATTTGGCATTCTTTGCATATATGACTGACCCTGCAAGGGATAATATTGTTGAGTTTCTCTAATCTGGTCCCAGAGTTCTATGATTCTACTGATACATCTATTATCTTCAGCTAGAAACAGAGTTTCATCTTCTCTGATCCAGGTAATAGGAATCCTGAGACTAAATCCAAACTAAAGATTTGGACATGCAGATGAATTAATAACAGGCACATGGAATGATTTCAAGTGACAGTGAGCAACTTTATTTAACATGGGGGGGGAAGCATTATATGCCACCCCCTACTCTCACATACCAGGCATTTAATTGGGCCCAGTACAGGGTTACAGGATTCCTACCATAAAACCAATAACTGAGGGTACTTTTGTTTCTGAATCTTCTTTATCAGCCCCTGCCCCTTCCCACCCTCCACCCATAGAAGGTGTAAAAGTTACCAAGGGAGGACTTCCGTGCATCAAGACTTCTTGTCTCCCCTTTTTCCCATAGGCAAATGGATCACCAGTGAAATCCCGGATCTCATTTACCTCAGAGAACTGGTCCCTTGTAGCTTTATCTGTACTGGACACTGGCTGCAAGTTGCAAAAAGCTAAAACAGTCTTCCTTTCCTCATATTAAACTTGCTAAATCTTAATTCTTATAACCTAACTGTGCTTTCATGATGCTGTGAGGAAGGCAAAAAAATCCACCACACTTTTGCTAAGTAGGTCCAATGGTTAAAATTCCTTACTGATCCAAAAGCAGGCAGTTAAGTCAGACTTGCAGCATCCTAAAAACACAGCTGTTATGCTACAACTACGAGGAGCGAGTGCAGGGCAACTAGCTGGAAAAAGAGGCTTTTGAAAACCCTGGGGGGGAAGTCTCAATAAGTGGGGGTGAGAGAGAGCACTGTGAGTACCAACTGGTTAGCCCATTCCTCCATCCCAAGCCAATGGGAAGGCTGCGGTCTCTCCCACACCCCCATTCCCACAGTGTATGAATTCTTGCGTCCACCGCTCCTTCCGCACCTCCTGCTAGGACTGTGTACATCAGGGTGGGGCATTAATAGTCAAGTGTATTAGTCATGTCAAACTTTAATTTTATTATAAACAAAAAAGACAACCTCAGCTTTTATTTACATATAGCCTCCCCCTGATGTTTACAGGAAGAAGGTAACAAGTAAAAGCTTGCTGATATATTTGTATTACTGTATACTAGTTGCTCTCTCCATATTTACTTACGAGGAATACCATCAGCTTGAAGGGGGAAAAAAGTAATTTCTCTGAAAATTTTGTACTTATTGTGTGGGATTTTCAAATGTGCCTAAGTGATTTAGGAACACCATTCCCACTGGAAGTCAATGGGATTTGTGGTCATCTACGCACTTAGAAAAACTAACTGAAATCATTTACTCTTATGTATTACTTTTAACTATAGTGGGTAGGATTTTCTATTTCCCTTCAGTTTAATTTGTGTATTCAAACAGCACTTTGTGTATAGTCAATCCCGCTGTTCACCCAGTAAAGTCAATTTTTTCCTTGCTAAAGGCACCCTTATCAACAGGAAAGAAGAAAAGTGTCTACATAACATTTAAAAAATATTAAAATTACATTTTCTGGGACATTTTATTTAAAGGATTCCATACCAAAATCTGGACCATTTAAAATTAGCCTATGTCAAAAAGTTGACAGTGTCTCTTTAATAAATACTTAACACACAACAATTTACATCTTCAAAGCACTGTACCACCAACGTTAAATATTAACATAAAGTAAGTGTCAGGTATTAGACACCAACATAAATTAAAGTAGGATTAATTTCAGAAGTCTGCCAAAATAGGGCAGAGTTCCATTAACAATGAAAAGTATTGTTGGGCTAAAATATGAAAAAAGTAAAGTGGGACAAAAAGTTTTAATCCCTTTTATAAACATCACAATTGGATTTTTTTATACAGTAAAAAAGAAAAAACACTGGATATATATACACTACACTTAGAGATCACAGACTTGTGGAAATGCATTGGAAATATAATAAAAAGTGGAAAATAACATGCAATAGCTTTTGGCTGTTTTGTCTTCTTCCTATGTGCAGCAAGCTACAGCTAAAAGTTATGATCTACTTTTGGACAGAGTGATTTATTTTAAATATTTTCCTGCAGCTGTACATGTCACCTAAATAATATGTATCAAATATCTGGTTTTACAAAAATTAAGAATTTTAATTCATCTCATTAAACCAATGATTCCCAAATCATATCCCAATCACAATCAAAACAGAGACTGCACTTAATCCCTTTTCTGGTTCCTTCAGTCTCTCGCACTTTCCATCTGTTTGTTCCTCTTTTGTTTAGTCCCCGTCCCGCATCCCCCCCCTCTCAGTCTCTCCTTCTAGTGTCTTTGGAGTGTCAGGGGACAGAGGCTACTCATTTGCAAGAGTAGTTGGAGCACCTTTCCATTGCAAAAATCACACTACTGGGGAGTATATGCCTGGGAACAAGCAGCCCCCAAACCATCTAGAAAGCAATGAATGAAACTCTATTCATAGACCTAAAATGTCTAGTACAAAAATCCACACAATTTTTCATTCCTTTCACCAAATTCAGAACATTGGGTCAGGGCTTCAAAGAAGTAGGATCTGCAGAAGCCATATACTGTCAATTCTCCATCACGAATTGCCTTTATATATCCCCTCTTGTATCTTAATTCCTAGGTTTCAAAATCACTTGTTGCACTCGCGCCGTGATTTCAAGGTCTACTAGATGCAACAAGTCTGGATCAGGTAAAAATGTGGCTATCCTTTAGAGACAGAAGATCCAAAGATATTAGAAGAAGAAGAATGGCTCCAATGTTATTGCTAGGAAATCATATTACCCCCTCCCCCTCCCGAAAAAACAACCCCAAACTGTAGTGATCATTGAAAAGTCAACAGATATTTTATATTTAAAACTGCCATTAACTTAAAAAAATATTTAGTACTTCTGAACTTCTGTGGATGATTAAAGTCAAATGTCCAGTTACAAATTTACAACTTAAAATATTAAACTGACACCAGTTTTATACCTAGTATTTAGGTATATACCTAGTAATTAGGTATACATAAATAAACATGGAGAGAACAGTACACAGCAATAACAATGAAGTGCAGCTGCAATCTCCCACCCCATCCTCATTATAACCATTGTCTACACTTTTAGGCAGTAATAAGCCTATGATAAAATGAAACTCACTGTTACTCATGATTTGGAAGATTAAAATGTGCATGCATCCTTGTATGTTATGTGGATTTCTTCCAAAGTGTGCTGAAGTACTTCATTTTAAACAGATATTTGTTCCAAACTTTATGATGGGCAGTGATGCCTAGTGGATAGAACACTAGACTGGCACTCTGGAGACTTGGGTTCTACTTCTGGCTCTGCCACTAGCCTATGGGGTGACCTTGAGCAAGTCACTTAGCCGCTCTGTGCCTCAGTTCCCCCATCTGTAAAATGGGGGAAATGATACTTACCTCTTCTGTGATCTACAGATCAAGCACTACCCAAGAGTTAAGTATGAAATACAAGAGCATCAATGTTTCATTCATTCATTTTATCAAATTACAATATATTCTTGACATAAAATTAGAGTCTTTCATAAGAAGGTATGCAAAAGGACAATGCTGGTACAGACTAGCAAACAGTTTAGAAACTTCAAAAAACACAGTACAATATGAAAAAAAGGCGATTGAGGTTTATTTCAAGTCCTAAATTAAAATTTTAGAAGGTCTCTTTGAAACAAACAATAGTAAGGAAGTTTCAGCGTTCATACTGACATTTCATACAAATAATCACAGCATTTTTTATGTAATACTTCACCTGGGCACGTGTATAGCATGTTGGTGACTGTATTGGGATAGATTAGATGGCTACATAGAATAGTTATTTTTTTAATATACTACATTCAGTATACTCGAAAGCTGAACTTTAAAAAAATGTTTTAAAAATCCCAGTTGCTGTTGTAAAAGAGTTACATATTTATAAATATATAGCATTTTGATTAGCGCTGGAGAATCTCAATAAGAGTTGTTATTTTACTGCTATTCCCCAGCAGGAAGTTTATGACCAAAAAAAAGTTTTAATGAGCAGGCAGATGCTAAACACAAACTGCGAGCTTTAGTGAAACTGTTATTATTTGGTAGGAGAATTGTAAATATATAAGCATCGTCGTTCATATTAAACAACAAAACCATTAGAATTTACCTAGACAAAAGGTGTTGTGAGAATTTGTTATTTATAAAAACACTTTGAAGGTAAGTGCACTGTCAGTGATAATATCTGGCAGAGTCAAACCTCTCTTGTGCATGCAAGTGATGAGTAGTACATTCTGCGTTACCAGCTATGGACTTGATCCCGATCTCATTGAAGTCAGGGTCAAAACTCCTACAAAGGGAGGAGGTGTTAGATCAGACAGCAAGCTGATAGTTTCCTGAGATTTTTAAATTACATTTAATAATTGTAAAGCTGTGCAAAATACAAGATGAAATAAAAATTATTACAAGGCTTTTGAATAGTAGGTTGTTTTTACAGGCAATATGTGCTATAATACCTAGATAAATAGTGCTGTTTAAGTGCAGATTTTCAGCATTCACTCTGAATTTTGCAGCTTTTGTTGATGTAAGCAGCCATATATTCTTGCTGCAGCTATATCCTTAAAATATTATATATGTTTAAACTAAAGACATTAAATTACAGACCCTTCCCCCGCCAAGGAACAGGAAATAAACTCTTATGTATTAGATATCAGTTGATAGCTCAAGTTAGCTCCCCCACAGCCATTATGTAGTACTGCATAAAAATATATTGAAATAATTTGTAAAAAGCACACAATTAACAAAATAGTCATTAGGTCATTGGAATTATTCAGACTTTTTTTTTGCAAACTATGCCGTATATGTAGAAAAAATCCTTTTGAAAATTCGTCTTAATTGGTGACATTCATGGAAAGTTTTCTTAAGATTTAAAAAAAATTCTAAAAAAAAAATCTGATTGTATTAAGATCCTGATTCAGCAAGATACTTAAGCACATCAAAGCAACTACCCATGAGTTTAAAGTTAAGCATGTGCTTAAGTGTTTTGCTGACTCAGAGTCTAAGTCACCTAACATGGTGACAGGTTTCAGAGTGGTAGCCGTGTTAGTCTGTATCAGCAAAAACAACGAGGAGTCCTTGTGGCACCTTAGAGACTACCTTATGCCCAAATAAATTTGTTAGTCTCTGACTGATTATCACTGACAGAGCACTTACCTTCAAAGTGCTTTTATAAATAAATTCTCACAACACCTTTTGTCAAGGTAAATTCTAATGGTTTTGTTTAAGTCACCTAAATGTCACGTTTTAAACTGAAGACATTTGAGTTTTGGGAGTGGGAGACTGAGAGACATTGAAATGTTCTTCTTAAACTACAGCATTTTAACACTGAGCATATTTTTGTACTGACAAGCAATAAACTCGTAGAGAAAGTATCTTTATATTAGAAATGAAGCTGTAGTCTTAACTTTGTAAAAACAGTCTAAAAGGCATATACAGTAATTTAATCTGTGAAAGAGAAAAAATGTTCAGTTTAAAACACATACTGGGTCAATTAACTCAAACCTTTATCTGGTGGCCAAAAAATAACACTGAGAAATACTTTATAGGATGAGTCACTGTAACTTAATTTACTAAAATTGCAAATATGGATAGAAAAACACCACCAAGAACAACGTATGCTACCATTATGTAGCTCAATACATCTCTAATATTAGTCTATTGATTTTTAAACAACTTACATAATAAACCCTATTTCAGAAGCCAAATTGGGATCAACCTCCTTGAGCTACTGAAGCCAGCATTAGAATCCATCAGCTTTGGAGTTTTAGAGGCACTCTCATTACTTCCCAGTTTCACAGTTTAGCTAAATCCATGCTGTTTGATTTACTGTTTAGAGATGAAGAGACACATATAATAGAATTCTGGACATGAATGCACAAGCCTTCAGTGAAAGTCTAATTAATGGATTTTAGGATATCAGATTATTATGCCCTTGTTAATCTATGTGGGATTTAAGGTCTTAAAGTAAGTGTGCCTGTGTATATTTAGGAATGCCTATGCAGCTGCTGGGAGTGTACTTCTCAGTGTGGATAGGCAAACACTAGCTCTGCTCAGGCCAGTGTCCTAAAAATAGCTGTGTTTCCGCACCAGCATGGGCTAGCCACACAAGTCCGTACTCATGAGGAGAAGGGTCAGGCAGGTTCGTACTTGGATGCCTAGCCTGAGCCACCATAGACACACTGCTATTTTTAATACGCTAGCTCAAGTATAGCTAGCGCATGTATGTCCAGCCAGGCTGGGAAGCACACTCCCAGCTGCAGTGTAGACATACCCTTACTTGTATGTAGAAATACAAAAATTGGAGTTTCTTGAGGCAACACTGTTGAGACACTACAAACAGCCTAAATTCAGAGCAGTGACGTTCACCCTTAGTCACTATCTTGTCTGCTTGTTAGGATATTGAAAAATATGGCACTCACCAGTACAAAGTAGTAGGCATACAGAGCTGCCAAGTGATGAATTACAAAAAATTTATCACCAATTGCCTTCCAGTAGTAAGTAATAAGAAACAAATCTGTAAGAGAAAAAAAACATTAAATTATTACAACATAAGCTACCTAAGGACTATAATATTTCTCTTTAAAGCTTTCAGTATTACTGCAATCTAAAAGGAAAAACCTTTTTGGTTATCTGAGCTATGCATATATTTTTAATGGCAAATGGTGTCCAACTCAACCCACAAAAAGAAAAACAAATCTGAATTGTCTTTGAATTCAGCATTTCTAAGCTCAAGACTTCTGTATCCCTTCCCCTACTTCCCGGCTCCACAGATGGACATTAAATGTGAAAGGAAAAATTAGGCCTAAGCACTGGTTAAAATATTTTAGCTCTTCCAAAAATGTTCATAAATCTTTATATTTCCTACATGAAGGGAGCTGCCTGGCCACAGCTTTAGCAGGAGGTACACTGTGAGTAAGGATAGATCCAGGGACACCCCGCCCCCAGTTCTAGGTCCTGGTCTGGAAGATGACTCATGAGCCCACAATAATTGTATCAAGAACCCCAGAGAGAAAGGGGCTTGAGGACACTGCCAAAATATGACTGGGTCCACTATGGGAATGGTGGAGCAGCAGATGTTATTAGCAGGGCAGGGACCCCTAATGCTAAAAACATTAGCTCTTTGATTTGTTGAGCCCTTTGATTTCTTGGCTTCATTTAGTCATAATCCACCAGTGATCACAAAAGATAAATAACCTGACACAGGTTGTCATTAAGAACAAATAATTGAGTGAAAGAGAGCACAATTGTATGTAAGGATGACAGCCACACCAGATAAAATTATTAAAAATATTTTCAACCTCTTTCACATAGGATCAGACTCTGGCTTAAAATGTGTAGGAAGACAAGGACAATGGGGAGAGGAGTAAGTATGGAGCTGTTTCCCCCAGCTTTGTTGGGATTGCTAAAAACCTGCCGCTTGCACTCTATGGGCACAGGGGAGACTGAGGACATTAAAGCTGCCAGCAGCAGTAAACATCCCAAAAGGGGTTGGGGTCACAACTCCCACCTCTTCTGAATTGGCTGGAGGGCCAGAGGTGAGGATTGAAGGGTGTTCAGCACCCAATAAGGCAGTATTTCCATCTCTCTCCTCCACTAGCAGGTTGCCTCCAGGCATTGTACTGCCCACAAACACAGCAGTAGCTTTAAAAACTACACTGGACCCTATATTGTTTATAGAAGCTCATCACATCCTCAGAATAAAATTTAGATGTATCTATGATATAGACAACGTATAATTACCAGAAATGAGGTAGCCTGTGGTAATAGCAATATTCAGTTTCACAATTGAAGGGTCACCCCTGTAAACATAAAAAATGATGTACAGTTCCAGCCTTTATAATAAAAAGTTAAATTTGCATAGGACATACAAACATCACAAACCATTCCCCTCCTGCCGGGCCACTCATGCTTGACCCAGCCATGTAGCATCATGGAAATTTGGGTGAGGGGAGAGGAGAAGTTGCTAATTAGGAAGACTGATTCCAAAGACAGAACACATCTGCTGCCCCAGGGAGGCCAGCAGCAAGGATCACCTCATGCCTTGGGCAGCTGACAAGGGAATGGAGCTGAAACTCAATAAGTCCCCTGGCATACTGAGGCATAATAAGGTCAGCTAATAAAGAGTGCTTGTCAGCACCTTTGCTGACATTATTAAACACGCCCTTTTATGTCTCCTATCCTGCCCTAATTTTTAAAAACTTAGTTTGGGATGATAAGTACCAGTTGAGTGAGAAAGATTTTTTTTAAAATCACAATCATGGGATACCATGTTGACAGCTAGAGTGCAGGGGAAAATGAAAGTTACTCTTCTGTAACCAAGCTATTTAAGAGGACCTCAGCACATTCTTACTCTTGGGATGTGCTGAAATTGTAGCTTGGACTGATGGAACCTTCTAACAGCAATGCCCACCGGTGCACTCTTGTGCCCCCTGCACCTCTCCTCATGGCTCCTCAAAAGGGCAAAGCCATAATAGCGTACGTGGTGTGCTAACCCTCTCAGTTCTTTCTACCACCTCAAGTCCAAAGTTGTAATTAGGACTCAGAGAAAGAGGGAAAGGTGGGAAGTGAGTGTCATTATGCAGAATCCATCTCCAAAAGCTCTGGTTACAGGTGAATAACCTTCATTTGTTGTTTGAATGGCCTATGCACATTCTCACTCTTAGGAGTCTGGCAAGCAGTATTCTTCACTCTGTACAGTGATACAAGGAGGTCTCATTAAAAAGAGATTGTAACACTGCTTTACCAAATTGAGCTAGATGCCACATGTAAGGAATGTTTTATGAAGTATGAATTGAGACTAAGTAAAAGCTGTACAGATGCAGCTTTGTTCTCACAGAGTGCACTCTAAGCTCTTTTGGAAAATGTGTATTTAACACACTCTTCAATACAGAGTCCAACCCATGTAGAAAGGTGTTGGGATGTGACTGCCCAAACTTTACTCTTTCCCCATAAGAGACAAACAGTCCAGGCAATTTTCTGCCATTCATATAGAAGGCTAATGTTCTGTTAGCATCCAAGGTATGGAGCTTACCTAAAGAAAGCTAAGAATGTAGCCTTGGAAAAAATACTGGCAAGTTTATGGATTGATGGAGATGATAGATGTTCATTAAACCCTTCAAAATCTTTTTAATATATCATGACTAAATACGGTATTTTGTTCAACTAAGCTATAGTGAGCAGACATGGCTGCGAGATGTACTTTTACCAATGATATGGAGAGTCCCAAGCATTTCAGATTAAGGAGATACTCCTGTATGGATTTAATAGGAACTGAATCTAGGTTTATTGTTAGTTGCCAACAAAGAGAACCTTTTCCACTTATGATTGTAAAAGTTGATGCTTTCTGGAGTTTAACAGAATTCCTGTGCTTTTTACTCAGAACAGAACTATTCTATATCTGTTGAAATACTATTCTGCCAAATGGAGGCCTAGATGGCAAATCTGACCTCTCTGCTGGGCCCGGAGGCTGGAATTCGAGGGAGAGACAGATAAACTGTTTATGATAGTTACAGTAGATCCCACAACCGCTATTGTCTCACACAGGCCAAAGTAACTTTAGCTTTCTCTTGTTCAAATATTCATGAGAACTCTGAATTAGAAGAATTTGGGGCTGAGGGGACACAGAGGAGGAAACCTACTCCCTAGTCTACAAGAAATGCATCAGAGATGGACTGGTTGTCCACTCCTGCTCTGGAGCAATACCTCGAACATTTAGAGTTACGTCTTGTTGCAAATAGGTCCATCTCCAGGTACTCCCATGGGGAAGGGATGTCATTCTCTATAGAGTTCCCAAGTGACCACCTGTGCTGATCATGAAAGTCTCTGCTCAACTAATCTGCCAGTATGTTGTCCTTGTCTGCAAAGTGAGGAGCTATATGATAAATTTGGTATGCCATGCACCATTCCCACAGAGCTTCAGCCTCTTTATACAGCTGGTTGGAACATGCTCTCTCTGCTTATTCATGTAAAACATTGCTGTAATGTCAGTAATTTCACCTCTACCCCGGTATAACACTGTCCTCGGGAGCCAAAAAATCTTACCGTGTTATATGTGAAACCGTCTTATATCGAACTTGCTTTGATCCACTGGAGTGCGCAGGCCCCCCGCCCCTGGAGCGCTGCTTTACCGCATTATATCTGAATTCGTGTTATATCGGGTCGCGTTATATCAGGGTAGAGGTGTATTTTGGAATGGAAATTTTTCTCTCAAAAATTCCAGATACCGTGAATTGTCAAATTCTTGTAAAGAGACCTCCAGCAATTCGGAAGGGTCAGAGGTGACTACAGCTGACTGAGCTGGGGAGTTGAATACAACTTTTTTTAAGACAGTGTGATGTTAAGTCCACCATATGAAGGATAGGAACATTGGGCAGGTCATTTCATTAACATACAGTCTTCCTAGCTAATACTGAAGAGGTCTTATCTTTAGATCTGCATGTAGAGTTACGCATGTTTCAGAATCCATAGGGCTCATCAGCTTGAGGAAGACCATCACTGTTTGCCATGGTTTCTCCTGTAGTATTTCCAAGTACCTTTCTTCTGGGACAAAAAACTCTCCTCTGTTGTACTTCCTTAAAGTAAAGGCAAGAGTCAGCTTCTGATTTTAGTAGCCTCTTAGCTCACTTGGTCAGATTAAAGGAAAGGCATTTCTTCTTAATTTTTCATTGAATTATTAAAGTAATTCTTGTGTTAACCTTACAAGTTGATTTAATTACTCATTGTAGTAATTGACAAGCCAGATAAACTGAATCATTGATCTACTGATTAAATGTTGATAGAATTTTGATAGTAACCTTGATTTGATCATTGCATTGTTTTACATTTGATTAGGGAAATTAGAAGTAAATTAGTGACAGTTGTTTAGCTTCATATTTATTTGAGTTTTTTATAGAATCCATAAAAGCACACTAGCGTGGCTCTTCTCTCAAAACTCCAGTACATAAGAACATAAGAATGCCCATACTGGGTCAGACCAAAGGTCCATCTGTATCCTGTCTGCTGACAGTGGCCAATGCCAGGTGCCCCAGAGGGAATGAACCTAACAGGTAGTGATCAAGTGATCTCTTTCCTGCCATCCATCTCCACCCTCTGACAAACAGAGGCTAGGGACACCATTCCTTACCCATCCTGGCTAATAGCCATTAATGGACTTAACCTCCATGAATTTATCTAGTTCTCTTTTAAACCCTGTTATAGTCCTAGCCTTCACAACCTCCTCAGACAAGGAGTTCCACAGGTTGACTGTGCGCTGTATGAAGAAGAACTTCCTTTTATTTGTTTTAAACCTGCTGCCCATTAATTTCATTTGGTGGCCCCTAATTCTTATATTATAGGAACAAGTAAATAACGTTTCCTTATTCACTTTCTCCCCACCACTCATGATTTTATAAACCTCTATCATATCTCCCCTTAGGGCAGGTCCACACTGGGGCGGGGGATCGATATAGGAAACGCAACTTCAGCTACGAGAATAGCGTAGCTGAAGTCGACGTTTCCTATATCGAACTAAATTTACTTACTTCGGGTCCACGCGGCGCAGGCAGGCTCCCCCGTCGACAGCGCTTCCTCCTCTCGGCGAGCAGGAGTTCCGCAGTCGACGGGGGAGCGCTTCTGGGATCGATCTATCGCGTCCAGATGAGACGCGATAAATCGATCCCAGAAGATCGATCTCTACCCGCCGAATTGGGCGGGTAGTGTGGACCAGCCCTTAGTCTCCTCTTTTCCAAGCTGAAAAGTCCTAGCCTCTTTAATCTCTCCTCATATGGGACCCGTTCCAAACGCCTAATCCTTTTAGTTCCCCTTCTCTGAAACTTTTCTAATGCCAGTATATCTTTTTTGAGATGAGGAGACCACATCTGTACATAGTATTCAATATGTGGGTGTATCATGGATTTATATAAGGGCAATAAGATATTCTCCGTCTTATTCTCTATCCCTTTTTTAATGATTCCTAACATCCTGTTTGCTTTTTTGACTGCCACTGCACACTGCGTGGACATCTTCAGAGAACTATCCATGATGACTCCAAGATCTCTTTCCTGATTAGTTATAGCTAAATTAGCCCCCCATCATATTCTATATATAGTTGGGGTTATTTTTTCCAATGTGCATTACTTTGCATTTATCCATATTAAATTTCATTTGCCATTTTGTTGCCTAATCACTTAGTTTTGTGAGATCTTTTTGAAGTTCGTCACAGTCTGCTTTGGTCTTAACTATCTTGAGCAATTTGGTATAGTCTGAAAACTTTGCCACCTCACTCCCTTTCTCCAGATCATTTATGAATAAGTTGAATATGATTGGTCCTAGGACTGACCCTTGGTGAACACCACTAGTTACCCCTCTCCATTCTCCATTCTGAAAATTTACCATTTATTCCTACCATTTGTTCCCTGTCTTTTAACCAGTTCTCAATCCATGAAAGGATCTTCCCTCTTATCCCATGACAACTTAATTTACGTAAGAGCCTTTGGTGAGGGACCTTGCCAAAGGATTTTTGGAAATCTAAGTACACTATGTCCACTGGATCCCCCTTGTCCACATGTTTGTTGACCCCTTCAAAGAACTCTAATATTAGTAAGACATGATTTCCCTTTACAGAAACCATGTTGACTTTTGCCCAACAAGTTATGTTCTTCTTTGTGTCTGACAATTTTATTCTTTACTATTGTTTCAACTAATTTGCCTGGTACTGACGTTAGACTTACTGGTCTGTAATTGCTGGGATCAGCTCTAGAGCCCTTTTTAAATATTGGCATTACATTAGCTATCTTCCCGTCACTGGGTACAGAAGCTGATTTAAAGGACAGGTTACAAACCATAGTTAATAGTTCCGCAATTTCACATTTGAGTTCTTTCAGAACTCTTAGGTGAATGCCATCTGGTCCCGGTGACTTGTTACTGTTAAGTTTATCAATTAATTCTAAAACCTCCTCTAGTGACACTTCAGTCTGTGACAATTCCTCAGATTTGTCACCTACAAAGGACGGCTCAGGTTTGGGAATCTCCCTAACATCCTCAGCCGTGAAGACTGAAGCAAAGAATTCATTTAGTTTCTCTGCAATGACTTTATCGTCTTTAAGTGCTCCTTTTTTATCTCGATCGTCCAGGGGCCCCACTGGTTGTTTAGCAGGCTTCCTGTTTCTGATGTACTTAAAAAACATTTTGTTATTACCTTTTGAGCTTTTGGCTAGCTGTTCTTCAAACTCCTTTTTAGCTTTTCTTATTACATTTTTACACTTAATTTGGCAGTGTTTATGCTCCTTTCTATTTACCTCATTAGGATTTGACTTCCACTTTTTAAAAGATGCCTTTTTATCTCTCACAGCTTCTTTTACATGGTTGTTGAGCCACGGTGGCTCTTTTTTAATTCTTTTACTGTGTTTTTTAATTTGGGGTATACATTTAAGTTGGGCCTTGTAGCGGGGCAGTTACCCCGCTCCTGAAAGAAAAGGCTAGACTGATTGGGGAAGCAGCCACAGCTGGGGCCATGCCCCAGTCAGGCCATAGCTGGCCCTATAAAAGGGCTGTGAGCCAGGTGCTAAGTCAGTCTCTCTCTAGCTGTGGCGAGAGAAGGATCTGGCTGCCTGGGAGCTTAGGGTACTGGGAGTAGAGCAGGATTGGGGAAAGGCAAGAGGAGCTGGGGAGCTCCAGCCTAGCAAATCCCCAGGATGTAGGCCTTGCTAAAGGCCTAAAGAAGGTACTGGAGCTGCAGAGGTGCAGTCTGGGGTTAGGCAGAGGCAGCTGGTCCAAACCCCCATGCCGATGATGAGTGGCCATGACAGACTGCAGTTTGCCCCAGTGAGTGGGGGCTAGATGACGACTGGCAGTAGTCACTGAGGCAAGGTGGGTGAGAGGGTTGGGGGTTCCCCACATCCCTTGGCCCACGCCGCTTCCCGCAGCCCCCAGTGGCCTGGAGCAGCGAACCACAGCCAGTGGGAGCCGCTATCGGCCGAACCTGCGGACGCGGCAGGTAAACAAACCGGCCCGGCCCGGCAGGGGCTTTCCCTGAACAAGCAGCGGACTGGCTTTGAGAACCACTGAGGTACAGGACATTTCCCTTGGACCCTTCTGGGAAAAGGTTCTCTTTGCGGCTGCCTTTCTTCAACCCTTTTAAATTTAGGGTAATACCTAGAGGAAGGCCAATATGGATGCGATGTCAAAGGTTGTCGCTTCCAGTCCTGCTAGTATCTGGCAGGCAATTCCCTATCATAATTCCTGGGTGAGGAAGGGTGATCTCACAGTCTGAAAGGTTGGAATCTACAGTCTCACTAATGCTCTTTGGGTTTGCTGACCCATCTCCTAGGACAGGAAGGTTAAGGAAAGGTATCAGGCCATTTGTAGCCTGATTTCAGATCCAAGGAAGTTACTAAGGCTAGGTCTACACTACCCGCCTGAATCGGCGGGTAGAAATCGACCTCTCGGGGATCGAATTATCGCGTCTCGTCGGGACGCGACAATCGATCCCCGAATCGACGCTCTTACTCCACCAGCGGAGGTGGGAGTAAGCACCGTCGATGGGAAGCCACGGAGGTCGATTTTGCCACCTTACAACGGGGTAAGTCGGCTTACAACGGGGTAAGTCCTTACAACGGGGTAAGTCGGCTGCGATACGTCGAATTCAGCTACGCTATTCGCGTAGCTGAATTTGCGTATCTTAAATCGACCCCCCCCCCGTAGTGAAGATGTAGCCTAAGACTGACAATGATTTGGTTTAGCAAAAAGGACAAGATATTTCCCTGAGGAACCAGTAGGACAAGAGTCACATATTGCCAAGGAGGTTTATATAGCTACTGAATCAGGCAGCAATATGCAAGTGCAGATATAACCAGTAAAAGACCACCATCTCAACCTGCCTGGAGCTGCCTAGACTGAGCTGCAGTTCTTCCTTTTCCTTCACAGAAACACAAAATTGCCATATCACATCAGACCAGTGGTCTTTCTATTCTAATATCATACTTCAAAGGAAGGTTCAAAAACTTCCATAGTGAACAGTTATAGAGTAGCCTGCTCATTGGTGAAGTTTCATATGAATTCCTGTCAGTTAGTGATTTACTTATGACCTGAAGACCTTCTTCCTCCCACCAATTTCTCTCTCCTATTCTCATAACCTCTGACTTCTCCCTCATTTTCATCACCTTAAAAACAATACCTAAGTAGTCTATAAAGTCACAACTGGTATTAAGCAGAAAGGAAAAACTACTACTATGGAACCTTCTATACCATCAAGTAGTACACACAACTCAGTTGAATAATCACCTGATGTTTCATTATAACTCTTGTCCATCCACTTATCCCTATTGTTTGTTACATTTAATTATGTGTAATGCCTGAAATTAGATTCTAAATTCTTCGGTGCAGGGACAATTAAGTTTAAGATTCACATCCAGGCATTAAAACCCTGAAAGTTAACCCACCTAGCTGGGCCACACATAGATCCAGAAGCATTTCAGACGAAGCTACCCTAAAGGCCCTGGACCTAAGATTTTACACACAACTAACTCTGAAGGACAGGGTTGATTTGGACACTATCACATAGCCACCCACAACTATACATTGAGAGGGCATGTGGCAGAAGCAAGGAAGTGAAATTGGGGAGGAAGCATTTGGCCAAGTTATAACAAGCTTTTGAAAACTTGCAGTTTGCACGTACTCAGTAGAGACTTTCTAGAGTTTAACAGCTAAAAGTCTCTGAAAATTTTATCCTCACAGAGCATGCTCAAGCCTCTCGCAGCTACTAATGCTGACCAGACTGCGCATGCACCATCTCCACAAAGCAATGGAGCCCAGGAACACTGGGTTTCAAAGGACTTTCTCTGTAATGACTGCTCCAGGCCAATACCAATAATCAGTTTATGCAAAATAAAAATACTTAGCGCTTTATATCTTCAAAGTGCAATTCAAATTTTGACTTGTTTCTTGAAGGTGCTGCATGCTCTCAATTTCCATTGAAACCAGTGGAAATCAAGGGAGCTTAGAATCTTGCAGGACAGAACCCTAAACAATTATAATAATATCCCTGTGAGAAAATAGTGAAAGTATTATCCCATTCTTACCAATGAAAAACAAACACAGCAATATTAAAGAACATGCCCAAAGCCACACAACAAGTCAGTGGCAAAGCTGTGATTAGAACTCATAACTTCATAGCATCCAGTCCTGTTCAGTACACCAGACCATATTGCATTCTATTACTGATCTGTAAACAACTGAGCAGTATGAAATGCAGACCTTTGTTCTGTTCTTTTAAAACCAGATGAAATATTTTTTGCATTTAAGTTTAGTCTGATTCCCATGTTGTGATTCAGTTTAAAATAAAGTTATGGTGGAAAGAGGAGTTAAAGCTTTAAAAAAAAAATAAGTTTAATTATACAGGTAAAATCAACAGTTCTTCTTACATAGCTTTAAAGAAAGGAAAAAGTCAGTCCCAATAAAGGGTAACAGCTTCAACTTTCTGCTAACAATCTCATGAATCAACTCAAACAAAATCCTGTATTATACTGCAAAAGTCTGTTGGGGGCGGGGGGAGAGACAAACACCAAGGACCAAAACTTATTTTCTTTTGAGTTTTTAAGTTCTAATGCAGGAAGATCTTCTAATTAGTTTGAGGAACTACTGGAAATCATTGACAGGAGGAGAGCAGCAGCATTTATTAGAGAGAGAACCTCTGCTGTACCACTATTGAGAAAAACCTTTTCAGAGCGGGGGGGGGGAGCTGAAGAAAAACTGATATAGTGTCTTCATTTTACACTTAAAATCTCATCTAACTTTTGATCATATTTTTCCCCCCTACAGACATTCAGAGTGTGCAACCAACCTAATTCTCAATTACTAAGGGACAATCTCCACTCATTGATATATTTTGCTTTCCACAACCAAATCTCTGTACAACTTTTCATAAGTGATGTACCCAAGTATTCGGATTCTAATATCTAAACTGTATTGTTAAATCTATTCACCTAAATTTGGGTTATTGCTGATTATGTACACTATGTAGCATATGACTTTTAAAAACTAACTCTTTTCCCAACCAGTGTATTATATAATTTTTTTAACATTAGCTTTAATAAAAATTTTATATCTTCGCTGTTTCACTTTTCAAGCAAAACAGTAAATAGACACAAATGATGTTAAATCTGCAGTCACCTTTTTGATTGTTTACGGTTGTATTTTCAGAGCTGTGCATTAAAATTGGAGGTTGAATTTCAATTAACTGTCCTGAGAAATGTGTCTCTAACCGTTCATACTACTTCGTAGAAACTGTTATACAGTAGGCTTATAATGGCATTTTAATTGGCAAAATAATTTGGATTTTACCAGATAATCAGGACAGACATATAAATGGCCCGCCACATTTTAAGAGAAACTGAGTGCTAATTTAGCTAGTTAATACTCTAACACGATAGCAACATTGGGAGACAAAGATGTGGGAAAATGGGAACAAAGAAAAAAGTCATATTCTTAAAGTCAGTTTGATATAACTTGTCTTACCAGACATGGTCAGCATTAACAGCTTCATCATACAACAAGATATATACACAAAAAGCACCAACCACCAAGGCATGGAAGGTGGATACTGTCCTGAAAAAAAGAAATATATATTACATTTGTGATTACCATTCTGACTGATACCACAATTTAGAATATACCATCTTAAGTGCAAGATGGTATATTTCCAAGGAAATTCTGAATGACATACAGAAGTTCTTGTACTATAAAGACATTTCATTTGTATATTATATCTATCAGCTCATGGAATGACTTGTTTTTAATATAGACAGCAAAAGTATACATAGGGAAGGAGGAAAATATTTTTGGTGCAATCAATGCTTCATTTTTTTTATAATGACAAAGTAGTTAAAACATAAAATTAACATACCTTGATAGCTGTCCCATTTACTGACACTTATCTGCAAAAGCAAACTCATGACTAAGCTCTTTAAATTCATTCTTCCAGCAGTAATCAACTTGTTAAATGAACCAAAAGGAGACTTCTTGTACTTCATACTGAATTCAAACTGGCCCATATATGCTATGTTAGCAGATTTCTGTTTGTAAGCACCAAATTTAACAGCTGGAATGCTTTTCTGTTCTTGTTTTTTTAGGTGGGTGGGGAAGGCCGTAGATTAAACAGAAACTCTAGCACTGACAGCTTCAGAGAAGGATAGTCTTGTGCATATGACCCAGCTTCTAGGTCTCTCAGAACAAAATTGAATAGTACAAGACTGCAATTGCAAGACTTCAATACACAAATATGAGCATCATAGGTGTGCTGAGGGAGTAGAAGCTATAGTATAAATGATAATGATTCAAGTCTGACAACTGCTGAACTTGAATTGATATGCAAACTAGATATAATCAACTTAGGCTTGAATAGAGACTGGGAATGGCTGAGCCATTACAAACATTGAATCTATCTCCCCATGTAAGTATTCTCACACTTCTTATCAAACTGTCTGTACTGGGCTATCTTGATTATCACTTCAAAAGTTTTTTCTCTTACTTAATTGGCCTCTCAGAGTTGGTAAGACAACTCTCACCTTTTCATGCTCTCTGTATGTGTATATATATATCTCCTCAATATACGTTCCATTCTATGCATCCGAAGAAGTGGGCTGTAGCCCACAAAAGCTTATGTTCCAATAAATTTGTTAGTCTCTAAGGTGCCACAAGCAGGGCCGGCTCTGGCTTTCTGGCCGCCCCAAGCAAAAAAAAACCACGGCGGCCAGCACAGCAGGGCCAAAAAAAAACCGGCGGCACGGCCGGGGCCGGGGGGCAGGGGGACGCCCTGCCGGGCGGATGGGCCCCGGCTAGCGGGGGCAGGGGGAGGGAGCGGGGGGAGAGAGAGAAGGGGGGCGGCCAGGGCTTCAGCAGGGCGCTGCCACGCGGCCCCTCCCGCCGTGCCCCCTGCCGGGAGGGCTCCACATCACTCCGGTTGGCTGGGAGGGAAGGATGCGGGCTGCCCTGCCGGGCTTGCTGCAGGGCGCTCCCGTCCTCCGCGCCGCCGCCCCCTACAGGGCGGCCGGAGCAGAACAACAACAAACAAAACAAACAAAAAAAGCGGCTGTGCCACCCTAGGATTGGGCGGAATGCCGCCTCCTACAAGCTGCCGCCCCAAGCACCAGCTTGCTCGGCTGGTGCCTGGAGCCGGCCCTGGCCACAAGTACTCCTGTTCTTTTTGCGGACATTACACAATTAACACTATATAATGCAACGCACACGTGTGTAAGGAGGCAAGGGGGACCCTATCTTTGACTTGTGCATTTAAAATATTAATAATTTGGAAAAATCATTTTTCCATATATATCAACATCAGAGTCCCAAACACAGCTCTGCAGGATTTAAATGGAAAACTACTTGTTCCTCTCAAGCCTTTCCCCAAAGTTACTTTTCTTATTCTCCCTATTTACAAAAGCCATTCTTTCCAACCCCAATGGATTATACTGTAAATCTCCAATAAGAGGAGTCTGGATGGTCTCCACTTAATTTGTGTTATTGTGCTGCTTTCAGCAATTGCTTTTAATGGAATGTTCTATCAAATAGATAGAATACGGTTTTAATTAATCTTCAGAATAACAGTTAAATATAGCTGTATTGGACAAGTGTATTTACTGCAACAGGTGTAGACAAGCCCTAAATCTCTGCGTAAGCAACAACCTGGTGATAACAAACATGCTATTTCAACAAAGAAAACTGCAGAGGATGTGGACATAGAGATCACTGTGACACTGGCAAATCAGGTGTCAGCTCTTGCCAAGGCTTTAGACCTCAGCCGCGCACTGACAAATTAATTGCTGGAAACTAGTCTGTTTCACCTGTGCTTTAGTATGTTTAAAATGGGTATTAAACTTGTAACAATGTGTTTAGAATTTATGAAACACCTGTTAATTGCTGTATGCATTAATCTCACTTATAGTATATTTATCACCCGGTATAAGATGATAATTAAGTTTTTGCTTTATAAAACAAAAAAAAAGTTTGTTCTGAAACTGAATCTGCTCATCAAGGCAGCTATCAAAACTAAATGGGCGATTGTGGGACATCACAATACAAAGACTTTGTTAATTGCCCCTTTACACCCATGAAGCGGCTACATGCAAAAGGGCTCATCCCATCAGCATGAATTCTGGAAGAAGGAAATAAGAATAGCTGACAAGAAAATTTTTCCTATCTTTTTTGCTGTTTGGACTATGACAGGGCGAGAACTATGAAACAGAAACACAGATCTCCATGGTCAACCTAAAACACCTTCAGAGTGGACAGATTACTACAACTCTGTCACCTTTTGGAACCATAGACTGTAACTCATTTGTGTATAAAAGTTTACTTGGAAGTGTTATTTACTCCTTCTCATAACACAAGAACTAGGGGTCACCAAGTGAAATTAATAGGCAGCAGGTTTAAAATACACAAAAGGAAATATTTCTTCACACAACACACAGTCAACCTGTGGAACTCTTTGCCAGAGGATGTTGTGAAGGCCAAGACTATAACAGGGTTCAAAAAGGAACTAGATAAATTCATGGAGGATAGATCCATCAATGGCTATTAGCCAGGATGGGCAGGGATGGTGTCCCTAGCCTCTGTTTGCCAGAAGCTGGGAATGGGCGACAGGGGATGGATCACTTGATGATTACGTGTTCTGTTCATTCCCTCTGGGGCACCTGGCATTGGCCACTGTCAGAAGACAGGATACTGGGCTAGATGGACCTTTGATCTGACCCAGTATGCCCGTTCTTTTGTTCTTAACCTTATAATAACTCTCTCATTTATTTTTTAGTTAATAAATCTTTAGTTAGTTTATTACAGGATGGGCTACAAGTGTTGTCTTTGATGAGATATCTAAAGTACAAAGTGACCTGGGACTGGGAGAAACCTGAATATTTTGTGATCTTTGGTGTACTATCACTAAGTCCAGCTTGCCTGGGTAGCAAGATGGACTGGAAGGCCCAAGGAGACTGTCTGTGACTCTGTAAGGCTGTTATAGTGCTTTAGGAGTTCACATTTGTTACTGGGTTGGTGAAATCTAATTATCGATTTCCCCCCAATTTGGGACCCTTGCCCTGTTTCTTGACAGTCTGCCCTGAGGTTGGCACTCATGGTCGTGAACCACTCCAGACAGCGTGACAATCACCTGATGGGTAATTAAAGAACATGATAGACTTTGTACTTGTGAATCACAGGTGGAAATCAATTGTTGTTGTTGTGCAGATCATTTGCAGTTGATCATAAGTTAGTGCTGGCATCAATTGGGATGAAAAAAAAGTGCCAAGAACTAAGATCTATGATGTGGACAAATTGAAAGAGACAGGTATGAGGAAATGATACAGAGAAGCCATGCAGAAAATCATCATACATCTGGTAAAAGAATAAATGAACATTGAAGAGACATGGAACAGTGTAAAAAATGGGATTACAAGAGTGGCTGAACAAATGTTGGGCTATAAGGCCAAAACAAAGAAAGAAAGGTAGAAAATGGATTAAATACTGCAAATGAGTGACAAGTGTAGGAAGCTGAAGGAGAATAAAGAGGAGGATGGAGAGTTTAAGAGCTAGTACAATAGGCTGACTAGAGATAAAACAGAAAGCAAAGACTGACAGGAACAACTGGATAAGTGAACATTGTAAAGAAGCAGAAGAATACACAAAGAGAAATGCAACACAAGGGTTGTATTGCAAGATAAGAGAACTGTGTAAGACATATGAATTGCAGATGTCAGTGGTGAAAGACAAGTGTGGATACATAACTGAGGATTAACAAGCAAAGAATAAGTGATGGAAAAATATTCTGAAGAGCCATACAATGTGCAGAACACAGAAGATGAAATGGTCCTGAACAAGCTTCCCAGCACAAATGAGGGACAGAAAATACTGGAATTCTTAGAAGAAGTAGTAAATATCCCAATGGAAAGTTTCAAAAAGAAAAAGGAGCCAGGGAAGCGACAACATAACCAAAAGCTGCTGCAAGCAAGCAAGCAACACATGGTAAAGGCAATGCACAAGCTATTCAACAAGATTTACAAACATGAACAAGGGCTGAGCGAATGGGGGAAAGCAACAGTAATACCAATCTATAAAAAAGGAGATAAGAGTGAATGCAAGAACTACAGAGGACTCAGCTTATTGACTGTGCTGGGAAAAGCATTCACCAAGACATTGCAGAGATCAAAGAGGTGTGTGGAAATGGCACTTGAAAAGGAACAGGCCAGATTTAGATCAGAACAATATACAGTAGATCTGTTATTTATGATAAGATAGATATAGGAGAGGTACATAGAACACAACCAGACCTGTTACAACACCTGTATAGACTTCAAAACAGGCTTTTGACAGCACTTGGCAGAAACAGTTATGGCAACTTATGACAATATATGGCATCTCAAAGAAACTTCTACAGCAAGTTGATGAGTGCAGTAAGAATAGACATGAAGCAGAGTGGATCAGGACAACCGTAGGAGTGAGGCAAGGATACACACCATAATCAGTTTTGTTCAACTTGGTACTAGAAGCCGTAATTAGTGTAGTACTGAAAGATGAAACAGGAGGAGTCATGTTACGTTTTAGGATAATGCATAACCTTAGATTCGCAGACAATATTGACCAAGGAGCAGGGCCGGCTCTAGGCACCAGCAAACCAAGCATCTGCTTGGGGCGGCACATTTTCAAGGGCGGCATTCTGGCCATTTTTTTTTTTTTGCTTCCGGCAGCAAAAGCCTAGAGCCGGCCCTGGCAGCAGCAGCGCGTGGTGTGCAGGGGGCGCCCTGGGGCCGCTGCGGTTCGCGCCGCAGGGGAGCAGCACCCGCACCTTGTGGCTGGGCTGGGCAGGCTCCGAGCAGGGGACACTCGGGCTGGGGGCCGCCCCGCGGGGCACTTGGAGCCACCTGCGGGTGCCGCAGGGCTGCCGCCCCCCAGCGCCGCAGCCGGGGCTGGAGGAAGCGGCCCGAGCCACCCAGGGACTGCAGCAGGGCGGCCAGAAGCAGCAGCAGCAGCGGGGCCATAGAGGGCGCGGTGCTGCCGCGTGGGGCCAGCATCCCGCTCTCTGGGACTCCGCTCCCTCCTGGACTGCCCTGCCCCGGCTCCTCAGCCCCCTGCCGGGGCGGTCCCCCGGCTCTGCCCTCCCGGGTCCCGGCCGGTCCTGGAGGCAGGAGCCCTGGCTGGAGGGACCCTGGGCTGAGGCGCGGCCCAGGAGCCCCGCTGCTTACCCCGACCCTGCCAGACCCGGACTGGCTGGAGGCGAGGGGGGGAGCCCAGGGCTGGGGCGGCAGGGGGTGCGGGGGGGGGCGGGAAGAGAGAGCCCAGGACTGAGGTGGCAGGGGGCTAGGGGGTGAGAGCCCAGGGCTGGGGTGGGGGGGGGCAGCCAAAAATTTTTTTGCTTGGGGCGGTAAAAAACCTAGAGCCGGCCCTGCCAAGGAGGATTTACAGATAGTAATTGACAAGGTAGATCAGGAAAGCAAAAAATTCAGATTGAAGAACAGCATGGAGAAGAGAAAAATTATGGCAACTGGAAGACAAGAGAAAGAACTAAAGATCAAACTCAGAGACAAAAAACCAGAACACATGGGAAAAAATTGTGTACCTTGGAGGACCAGTATTGAAGAACGGGAATTGTGAAGATGTTATCAAAAATAAAATCAGACTAGCAGTATCTGAAGGGAGTCTGTCACTCATTTAAATGACATCTTGGAATGTCTAAATTCATCAGCCATTGATGGAGGAGAGGGTATTACCACTTCATCTGGTGAGTACTGGTTAAAAGATAGGCAACAAAGGGCAGGAATAAATGGTCAGTTTTCAGAATGGAGAGAGGTAAATAGTGGTGTCCCCAGGGGTCTGTACTGGGACCAGTACTATTCAACATATTCATAAATGATCTGGAAAAAGGGGTAAACAGTGAGGTGGCAAAATTTGCCAATGATACAAAACTACTCAAGATACTTAAGTCCAAAGCAGACCGCAAAGACTTACAAAAGGATCTCACAAAACTGGGTGACTGGGCAACAAAATGGCAGATGAAATTCAGTGTTGATAAATGCAAAGTAATGCACATTGGAAAACATAATCCCAACTATACATATAAAATGATGGGGTCTAAATTAGCTGTAACCACTCAAGAAAGAGATTTTTGCATCATTGTGGATAGGTCTCTGAAAACATCCACTCAATGTGCAGCAGCAGTCAAAAAAGTGAACAGAATGTTGGTAATCATTAAGAAAGGGATTGATAATAAGACAGAAAATATCATATTGTCGCTACACAAATCCATGGTACGCCCACATCTTGAATATTGCAGATGTGGTTGTGGTTGCCCTATCTCAAAAAAGATATATTGGAATTGGAAAAGATTCAGAAAAAGGACAACAAAAATAATTAGGATTATGGGACAGCTTCCATGTGAGAAGAGATTAATAAAACTGGGACTTTTCAGCTTGGAAAAGAGAAGACTAAAGGGGGATATGATAGAGATCTATAAAACCCTGACTGGCATGGAGAAAATAAATAAGGAAGTGTTATTTACTCTTCTCATTATACAAGAACTAGACATCACTAAATGAAATTAATAAGCAGCAGGTTCAAAATAAACAAAAGGAAATATTTCTTCACACAATGCACAGTCAACCTGTGGAACTCCTTGCCAGAGAATGTTGTGAAGGCCAAGACTATAACAGTGTTCAAAAAAGAACTAAATAAGTTCATGGATGATAGGTCCATCAATGGCTATTAGCCAGGATGGACAGGGATGACGTCCCTAACCTCTGTTTGCCAGAAGCTGGGAATGGGTGACAGGGGATGGATCACTTGATGATTACGTGTTCTGTTCATTCCCTCTGGGGCACCTGGCATTGGCCACTGTTGGAAGACAGGATACTGGGCTAGATGGACCTTTGGTCTGACCCAGTATGGCCGTTCTTATGTACAAGGAAATGGTAGTTTGAGGGGTGGTCTCCTTATCTGTCCTAGCTTTGTGTTCCGTCTTTTCCTGCAAGGGAATGGTTTGAGGTGGTAAAGATTGTGTTTCCCTATCATCCCGGTGGGCTAGGTGCAGAGCTCCAGAAAATTTCTGTTTGCAGGCAGCCCAGGGATCCCAGTATGGCCATTGTGGGGCTCCATATGGGAGAGGAGGTGGCATCCAGGATTGTTTCCACCATCTGTGGTGACCTCCCCAGGCTTCCTCCTTGTCTCTATGACTAACATAGAATGGGTTCCTATAAAGGTGGGTGGAAGAGCCCTACACTGAAATATGAGAGGCTGAATGGACTCATTGGAGGTCCCCTTCATCTTCCATTGAACTCTGAGGAGGAAGAGCCCCAGCTGAAAACAGTGCAAGGAGTCAGGCAGTACTGGTGACATATGAATGTCCGGTGACCGAGCGGGTCTCGGTGCCAAGAGGCATTTGGTGCCCATGATCAGCAGCGATTCCTGTTCCTCTGCTACAGTCAAGTCCTTCAAGTACCTAACTTCTTGAGGTACTGAATAAAGCATTGGTACCAATGTGATGATCTCTCTCAAAGTGGACAGTACCAAAGGTTTGGATTGCTCCAACAAGGGCACAGACAGAGGCAGATGCTTCGACTTACAGCATACCAAGAGACCTGTCATGGGGCAGTACTGGAGGTAGGGTTGTGTCCAGTTATACCGGCTGGAGGAATGTCTCTCCTTGCCATCTCTGACATGCCCAGATGGTACTAAAGCTTGCTTGGAACTGAGTTTGTTCTTAGAAGAGCTATGGGGTTTCCTGGCTCCACTGGTACCGCCAGGGTAGCCTGTAGCCTGAATGGTACAGGGCAGAGAGGTCAACAATTCTGAGACCATTGACCCAGTGGGAGATCGATGTCTTTTAGGAAGAGACTCCCTGCAAGGTGAGTTGGAGTTCCTCTTCCTGGGGCTTCTGGAGGTCTCAGAAACCTTCCCTTTTCTGGGGGAGTGATGAACTGAGGTTGACAGGGCACTGGATGTGTATGGAGACTGATGTACTGGAGGGGAAGTCTCCTGACCTGCCTCTGACGCAGATAAAAGAGAACACGCCATCATAAGCCTCAGCTTGATCTTCCAGTTCTTCCTCACCCTGCATTTAAGGGCTAAACAGAAGTTACGCTCCAGTGAGATGTGCGAGTCTTCCAGGCAGCGAACACACTTGGAGTGGTCATTGCTAGCCGGGATGGCCTCCCAGCAAGTGAGGCATCATTTAAAAGAGCTGAGCATATCCTCCCCAGGAAAGCAAACCTTCCGAAAGGAAGGAGGAAAAAAAATGTAAAACTAAACTAAACAGCTATACTAAGCTAAACTAACAATAAAATTTTAATAGATGAGGCATACTCAAGGTGGACACACTAGAGCTCCATCTCAGGCTGAGGCTGATGAAAAAGAACTAAGCGTGATTCACCCATCCAGTCGGATGTAGCCTCAGTGCGGGGCACGAGGCTGTGTAGGGTGCATGCACAAGTCAAATGGACACTGCCAGCAGAAATCTCCAATTGAAAACACATGCTGTAGCGGGGTGGTCACCCCGCTCCTGCCTGGAGGGGTTAAAAGCAGCCCTGGAGAGGGCTGTGGCTGGGGAAAGGCTGACTGGGGAAGCAGCCACAGCTGAGGCCACAGTCCAATCAGACCACAGCTGGCCCTATAAAAGAGCTGTGAGCCAGGAACTCTAAACACACTCTCTCTCTAGCTCCTTAGAGAGAGAAGGACCTGGCTGCCTGGGAAGCTAAGGAGGGTACCTTGGGTGGAGCAGTGCTGGGGAAGGGCAGAAGGAGCTGGGGAGCTCCAGCCTAGCTAAGTCCCAGACTGCAGGCCAAGTTAAGGGTCCACAAGGGTACTAGGGCTGCAGAGGGGCAGCCCAGGAATAGGCAGAGGCAGCTGGTCCAACCCCCCCTTGCCGATGATGAGTAGTTTATAGACTGCAGTCTGCCCCAGGGAGTGGGGGCTAGATGAAGACTGGTAGTAGCCACTGAGGCAAGGTGGGGGATAGGGGGTTGGGGGCTCCCCTGGGAGGGCAGACCCAGAGATGGAGGGGTTAGTGCTGGGGGCAGAACCCTGGTATACAAAGGCACCGGGGTCCGGGGAGGGATACAGGGGCCAGCGGCAGGTGAGACACTGGCTTGCAGAGGGCACTCTGGGCTGGAAGAGCTAATTCCCAAGACAACCAGCAGGAGGCGCCGCACCAGTGCGTCGTCACCCTGCCACACATGCACATGTGAAGCGGAGCACCCATAAGAGGGACACTACTCAAAGAAGAAAGAAGACCTCTTACATACACATTCCTTCTTTGCACGCCTTAACAAAGCTAGATGTAATCCAGCATTTACAGTAAACTGGAGGGAATTTTGCTTATATCTTCACATAGGTTTTGGGAGATGGGGGTATTTTCATAATTTTTACATCCTCAGTTATATGCTGTTATATATTTGGGAGCTTGAAAATTACTAAATTTCTGAATCAATTCATTATTTGTATTTATTTTTAAACACTTTACCTTGAATTCCATTCAATCTTCCTTTTTTGGTTGAGATTATTAAAAGCAGGAGTTATTCTTGTTGATGCCCAAGAACTTAGAACATGGAACAGAAGCTGAAATATGGTAAAACTGGTAACAGCAGTGCCAATTATCAGTTTGTTGAAGGTAGCCATTATTCTTCAGCCTGTTAATTGGAATGGCAGAATTACTGTCTCAGTCCAGACATAGTTTAATCAATTTTGTTTAAGTAGCTGCAAAAAGAATTTTAAGCCTCCAAGATAGTAATTTAAGTAGAAACAAAAATAAAATGTAGTGCTACACAGAACACAATAATCTTCAGATGTAACACAGTGATATATTAAGTAGCCATTTGAGTTGCCCTATTAAATAGTGAATGTGTTCAGTCTGTACCTGAGGCGAGGGAAGGAGAGGTGGGGAAGAAGCGCAAACAATTTTTTGGACATTCCTAGATATTTTCTAGACCAGGGGTGGGCAAACTATGGCCCGGGGGCTCATCTGGCCCTTCAGACGTTTTAATCCGGCCCTCGAGCTCCCGCCGGGGAGCAGGGTCCAGGGCTTGCCCCACTCCGACGTTCCAGTCAGGGAGTGGGGTCAGGGGCTTGCCCTGCTCTGCATGTGCTGTGGCTTCTGGAAGCAGCAACATGTCCCCCCGCCCCCCGGCTCTGGCTCCTATACATAGGGGCAACCAGGGGGCTCCACACACTGCCCTGCCCCAAGTACCGCCTCCATAGCTCCCGTTGGCCGGGAACTGCAGCCAATGGGAGCTGTCTGGCTGCGCCTCCGCGTAGGAGCTGGAGGGGGGACATGCCACTGCTTCCAGGAGCTGCTTGAGGTAAGCGCCAACCAGAGCCTGACCCCCTCCTGTGCCCCAACCCCCTGCACCAGCCCTGATACCCCTCCCGCCCTCCGAACCCCTTGGTCCCAGCCCGGAGCACCCTCCTGCACTCCCAACCCCACCCCAGAGCCCGCACCCCCAGCTGGAGCTACACCCCAACCCCCAGCCCAGAGCCCCCTCCCGCAGCTTGAACTCCTCATTTCTGGCTCCACCCCAGAGCCCACACCCCCAGCTAGAGCCCTCTCCCCCTCCTGCACCCCACCCCCCAATTTCATGCGCATTCATGGCTCGCCATACAATTTCCATACCCAGAGGTGGTGCTCAGGCCAAAAAGTTTGCCCACCCCTGTTCTAGACAGACATAGCTGACAAAGGCTCCAGTTGTGGAACTAGGAGTCCGGTGGCACCTTAAAGAGTAACAAATTTATTTGGGCATAAAAGCTTTTGTGGGTAAAAAACCTCACTTCTTCAGATGCATCTGAAAGCTTATGCCCAAATAAATCTGTTAGTCTTTAAGGTGCCACCGGACTCCTTGTTGTTTTTGTGGATACAGACTAACACGGCTACCCCCTGATACTTGAGTTATGGAACTATTATTTCAGACTTATGGAAAGAATTTCAGCACCATTCTCAGGGATTTAACCATTTGACTTCAACAGAAGTTAGAGGGATTTGCAAAACTAAATTCCCATACACCATATAGAAGAGAGAGAAAAAAACCAGTTATCCCCAACTAGAGCTTCCATACTGAACTCCATTTACATTCCTGTATCCCAAAAATAATCCAACCCTTTCACAAGAGAAGCTAAACAAAAGAAAGACAGGATAACTCATAGCCCTGGTCTACACTGGGAGGAGGGCTGGGGGTTGACCTAAGATACACAACTTCAGCTACGCGAATAGCGTAGCTGAAGTTGGCGTATCTTAGGTCCACTTACCTGGCCGTGAGGACGGCGGCAAGTCGACCGCCGCCACTCCCCTGTCAACTCCACTTCCACCTCTTGCGAGCTGGAGTTCCGGAGTCAACGGGGAGCGTGTTCGGGGATCGATTTAGCCGCGTCTAGATGAGACGCGATAAATTGATCCCCGATAGCTCAATCTCTACCCACCAATCCAGCAGGTAGTGAAGACCTGCCCGTAGTAATTAAAAGATTTAAATACTTTCAAAGGCAATATTCTTAAACTGTCTTAAGAGACCAGCATATAGAAATAGCTTTTAAGTGTATTTTAAAGACCTTAAATCTAATTAAAGCACTGCTGCTTAACCAAGACTTTGACTAATATTTCACACATGGTAATAACTGTCTAATAGTCAGCATCTTTCTCCAGAATGTCCTAGAAGTAGAGTCTTTCTATATAAAAAAAAGGGCAGGAAATGCCCATACCACCTTCCCTCTGTTCCCCTGGAGCTGGCAATAGCCAATGGGAATTATTTGCTTACACTCCATCTGCAGTCAGTGTGTTAGGTATACGTACACTAACTGGTGGAAGCAGTAGTTGGGCCTGTTTAGTGAATCTGTGGAATACTTTGAGGTGTGTGACAGAGCTGTGATCATGTATGAAGAGATCTGTATCTTGCTCCTTCATGTGAAAACAGGGATGCATGTATACCTTCAGTATGAATAATTTCTATGCAGAATTGTGTAGGTTATGTCAGTAGCAGAGCATAGGGCTTTTACTACAAGAGATATTGTCAGCAGTGAGGTGGAATATGAGAGGATTCTTATGATGGTTAAGTAAAGTGTAGGTTGAGACAGTATCATGTGAGTATGTGTAAGAGAGGTATAAAAGGCTGTGAAGTGACTTCTAAATTGTACAGGTGTGGTATTCTTTCTGGGGAGTTGACCAAGTGTGTGAGCCTATGCCAGGATCTGGAACCTCCTGAATTTTATAGTGCCACCGGCCAGCATGAGGTATTGCTCAAAGAGAGTAGAGGGAAGGTGGCATAGAGAACTTTCAAACAGACAAGCAAACAACAAACTTTTAATAGTGTTAAATGGAATGCTGCGGGTGAGAGTGAATGGGTTGTAAAAAGAGAGGAAGAGTTTGTACATTTCAGCAACTGAGGGGTTGACAGAATAAAGATATTATTATTAACGTGGTGTATTGGGACACTGCTAAAAGACAACAGAGTTAAGGTTGCCTGGGCACTTTAACTGTACATTTCATGTTTTTCAGAAATTTGAATTTTGCTCAACTCAGCATTCTGCAAGGAGACGACATACCACCAAGCAATCTTCACTCTGCATTAACGTAGTTTTTTGCCAGTGAATTTTAGCTTTTTTGAACAGGCAAAGATAAGTTGTTGGTAGGAGTCAGTAGTCATTTAGGCAGTTGTACATATCAAGTCCCACAATTTGCATACCAAGCCAGCAAGGCCTACGCACCCCATCCACCAAGGCCAAACCAGCCCTGCTTTGACACACATCCACAACCACACTCCTGACCCATTCACTGCATTCCCCCCTCCAACCTGGCCCGCTTCCCATTACTGTGCCCTGGCCCTCACCAACGAGCAGGGAACACATCCCACCGAAGTCTTCACTCCTTGGTATCCAAACATTTCTATTGCTGTTACTTCCCTCCTCCAACCTCTATCCCCAATAACATGACTCACATGGAGTACTGGAGTGAAGGATAACTATGTTATAGTGGACTGGTATTCCGGGTCATGTTTCAGAATGATTGGAAGGTGGAGTGTGTGGCCGTGCCAGCAAGAGATAGGGTTTCCGTTCCAAAATACGGACAATTTTATGTCTCAGAAAAAGATCCTCTGATCCCTGTCCAACAGATGTACCTCATCTCCAAGAAACAGTGAGGCAAGAGAGCTTGTAATGTTTCTATGGCAAACAGTACACATTTTCCAGTCATCCATGAACCCTCCAATTTCCCAATTAGTGTTCTTCCAATACTTAGTACTAGCTTTCACATCGCCCCTGTAGTCATTATTCAGATGCTCAGACAGATCAGAGAAAACTTTCACAGCTCTCGGACATAAATCTCTGATGTGGTCCAAATCTCCTTTCATACATTGTCCAAGGTGTACACCAGGAATAAGTCCCAGATCATTTCCATCCAAGTGAATCACCACAATGTCCGATAGATCACAATCTCTTCATCACCAGTTAGATGCTGTAGAGTGGGCAAAACTTGATGCCAACACTAGCCAGCTCTCTCCACCCAAATCAGCCTGTAGTCAGCAATCCCCTGTTATGGTGTACTCCTTGCTCTCATGCAAACTTCTGCAACATCATGATCCAGGAATCACCCAGAATCAACATAGTGGCAACCCTGGCAGCACACACATTTATTCCCCCTCAGAAGTCCAGGTGCCTGGGCTTCAGTTCCAAACTTCCATACTATGTGTCTTGGAAAAAAAACACATACATCTGCCCCAAGATCAGAAAGTAGCCAATTGTTGCCCCTACCTCTCCCTTCCCCCAGGGGCTAGTAAAATACAGGTTTTCCCAAACAACCAATTCAAGGCTTGCCTACCACCCATCCTCATTTCCTGCCCCCCTCCACAGCCGCAACTCCTCTCCCTGTCCCCATTCTCTTGACTATCATACACAGAGTCTTCTGTCTCTGGCTTTTCCCCACCTAATATAACAAAAATTTTGGTTAGACTATTCTGCTGTCTTCACAGTAAACCTCCCCACAAAATAAAAACACATTATATTATCACAGACAACTTGCAGCAAGCCACATGAGTTGTTAAGCCTTTATTGCACAGCTGTACAAAGGCTTGAACTAGAAACATCAGTGCCAGGTTGTTCACCAGCAGGCAATTGCATTGACACATTCCTTTTTACTTCCAAGGCAAGCATGAAGTGACTGTGTAGAAACCCTCTCATTTTTTTTTCTTTACTGGAGCATTTGCACTGTAATCCTTCCTGACTGTACATCTGTGCAAGTGAAGAAGTGAAAAATTTCTTTAAAATGATTCACAGGTGGATCCCCCAGAGACTTAGGCCTGGTCTACACTAGGCTTTTATGTCGACTTTAGCGCCGTTATA